TCTACTTCAAAAGCCTGAATTTCTTTGAAATATTGCTTATTTTAATAGAACTATTTCATATCTGGATAACAATTTCACCATCTTAATGGACCCGATTCTAGGGACGTGTGAAACATAGGGAAGAGAGTACTTATGTTACCTAGAATATTTATCTGAGACCTTGAGAGCTGTATCAGCTTCAGTGGCATAAAAGCCTACTTAGCAAAAGTTGACCTCATTTGTACATTTCAATGAAATTTTTCAGGTCTGCAAATCCCAGCCTCAAGACCACTTTTCACAGGATATACATACAAGAATAGAGGCAGGAAGATATGGTCACTACCCAGTCATAAATGAGGCAGATTCCATGGCCTGTAGAATAAAGGCCGAGACTAATAGATTTGTAATTGCTTCAGGCGAAAAATGCCCAAGCCTGAGTTGTACTGAAACCCATGTGTGAGGAATTGAACAGGAAGAGTGATTAAGCTGAGATTATGAATTTCGTTTGTCTATTCATTCACTTAGCAAAACTACATCGATGATATTAAAATGTGTGAAAAGAAAGATTATAAACAGTTCCTTGGAAATAGTGCCCCTAATCAGGTCACAAAACCAAACCTCAACCCCAGAGTCTAAATCCATTTCTCCTCTGACAATAACAAAGAAGTAATACTCATGTGTGTTATATACAGAAGAGCTAAATTAAGATGGTCTGGAGTGATCTGCTCTTAATTTGCCCAGCAAGTCACAATTTCCCTGTTACTCACTTCTTTCTCCTAAGAGACAGTGGGGAGAGCACTGGATTGGAAATCAGACAACCTGGTTCCAACTCCACCACACACCATCTGGTGACATCTTTGGGCAAGTTACTTAAACTCTCTGATTCTCGGCCTCTTCATACATTAAAGAGTATTAACACTTTTAAAGCCAACTGAGATCATGTTGCAAATGTGTGCCTTAGATCATTATACCTATAATTTATTTATTCCATCTAGAATAAAAGCATTTAGACTTTCAAACCATAATTTAAAAACTAATAAGAAGAATAACTTAAAGAAAGAAAAGAGGGAGTTGTTGACACCTCTCTTCTTTCCCAGTATTCTATGTGAACTTCCATTATAGCATTTGCTCTTTTTTTTTAAAAAAAAAAGATTTTATTTATTTGTTTGACAGAGAGAGAGACAGCTAGAGAGGAAACACAAGCAGGGGGGGAGCGGGAGAGGGAGAAGCAAGCTTCCCACTTAGCAGGGAGCCCAACGTGGGGCTCGATCCCAGGACCCTGGGATCATGACCTGTGCTGAAGGCAGATGCTTAACGACTGAGCCACTGAGCCACCCAGGCACCTCAGCATTTGGTCATTTTTAATGACTATGTCTTACCTACTAGACTCAGTTCCTGAAAGCAGGAACCTCATCATACAAATTCTCTCCCAGTCTCCAGCAAGTCCTTGACTCTGAGGCACATTTCTAGGTAATGAAAAACTGTACTTCTATAATCAAAGCACTCATTTTCACTCTTAAAGAATTTGGGGTGGTCACTGAGGTATTTGCTGCCTAATCTTGTAGGTGTGGCTCCTGACTTCTCTGAAGACTACCTCTCCAGGCACAATTCCTTCTCCTTGGTGTGAGTGAGAGTCCCGCCATTTGCTGGGACAGCCTTGGCATCTCCATTCCAAGACAGAATCATTGTTTGCTTCCTGTGTCTAATTAAGCGAAAGACTATCTCCTTTGAGTTTTCTTTCCTCTTAATCAATACCTTTAACTGTTTCTTCCTATGTCTTTCTATAATTATAGGAAACTATTTTGTATCAATTGCCTTGTTCTCTCTCAGATGCAGACCTGCTGTGTAGTGGAAGGTGAAGAAATTTCAGGGACAAAATTATCATTCACATCAGAAACACACCAATTATCTAGAAGTGCAGATTACTTAGGGGCAGTGTAGTAGAATAAGAGGTAAGAGAGGGGGAATTTAGGCTTTGCCCCATCTCTGGCCCATGTCTGCATCTTTGTTACTCCCTGGGTATCTTGGGTACATAGCTTCACCTCTCCTTACGTCAGCCTTCAATAAAACGAATAGTGAGGACCAGATGATCTTTGAGCCCTCTTCCATGTCTGACATTTGGAATTAAAGGTATATTTTATGTCACCATAAAATAGAGTTGTCTGTATATTGAGAATAGTTTGAGCCAAGGCCAAGAAAATTGATCCTGCATTAGGATCAAAAATGAATGTGCATGATCTTGAAATAACAAATGTGAAAGAAGTATTACTGAATCCTTTTCTCTGTAAATGGTTGGTCGATAGTAAAGCAGCCTTACTGGGGAACTTTGTAAGATGGTTAAAGAAAACTGAACTGATTGAAACTTCCAAAATAGATAGTCTGCTAATCACATGCTACCATGGCTATTAAAATCAAAACCACGTGCTTTATCTTTCTGGTGTCACACCAACATCACATAGAATAGCCACTAATGTCACTTTCCCCTGCCAACTAAAGCATTAAGAAAGAATGTTGTCACCTAGTAAATAGAGATTTGTGTCACTTAAGACTACTCATAGACCATTTATTCTTTAATGAACACTGACAACCTACTATGTACAAAACACTCTATGAGATACTGAGTGAACTATACCTATGAATTAGACATACATCTACTCACTGGAACTTTACACACAAATATTTATTCTCTTACATACATTCATACAGCTATGATAAAGGGGAGGAAGAGATAAATAAGCACCATGGAAGAGATGCAGATTAAGTACTCAGAGAAGGGAGCTATCCCAGTTGAGGGTATAAAGAAAGAATTTTATGAAGCAAGAAGAATATAAAATAAGTCTTGATGGTTGGGTTACATTTGGACCTGTGGAAATGACAAGACACAGCAAAGGCAAATAAAGAGGCACTAGGAAGCATAGCACAGTGACAACAAAATTAACACCACTAACATTCAGTGCTTACCAGCTACTTACTATGTACTATGAACTTTCAATACATGGTCTATTGGATCCTCATAACTCTAAGGAATTGATTCCATTAGTATGCCTATTTTTAGGTGGGAAAACTAAGGTCCAGAAAAGAAGAGTACCTTACTCAAGCCCTCCCATTATTAGAAGTAGCAGGTGGTTGAGGATTGCTGAAGTCTGTGGTTGTGGCAGGGAGGAAGGAAATTATAATCTAAATGGTTCATTGTGGCTAGATGATAAACAGGCTGGAATGTTAGACTCTTTCAGTGAATCAAACTTAGGAAGAATGCAAATGAACTAAATAGGAAGTAAAAAATAAAAGCTTCCATATATTAAAAAAAAGAGCTATGTCCCATATATTAATTAAAATGTAAAAACTCAGTACCTCTCTGGCCCTTTTGTCAGTGTTGAAGCACAGAATGTCAGTCACATCCAGAAGAGATATGTCTCTCCTTCCCAGTACAACCCTCCACTTGTGAAGGTGGGAAAACCGAGGCTGAAAGATAATTAACCTTGATCAAATGCTCCATTCAATTTAGGCTTTAAATAAAGAATAAATATATATGTGGGCTCATGGTTGCATAATTCTTGCCAATTATTTTCATACTGCTATTGGGAATTGACAACTAAAGATGATACTAAAAAGTTAAGATCCCCAGGCACTCATACAATCTATGCACTGCAAAGAAAACAATTAAGTTGTGTTCTCTTCTGTGCTTTAATCATAATAATGTGATTCTATTACTTCACCGAGTTGACTGGTAGCCAGATGTTCGTAAGGCATTTAACACAGACAGATCCCCTAACCGGACACTCATTAATTCCCTCTTAAATGTCTTGTAAATTAAAGATGCACCAGAACCTGAAAGGGTCTTCTGTTTTCACAGAGATTAATGAAGTGGCTTGGATTTTCTCTTGTTTAATCAGCTGTTCAGGAATTAATTCTACTAAGCCACATTCATATTAAAATGTATATTATCTAACACAAGTATTTTCTATAAAATATGAAGTCCCTTGTGGATGTTTGTATGCTGTCATCAGTAAGCTCACACTATGGGGATCTATGTTGAGTTTATGTATTTATATTGGTTTATTGTTCTACTGCAGCTATTCAGGAATACAGTTGATAGTGAAAACGTACATCCCTGAAGGGACATCTATTTAGAGTCTCTGTGAGTTAAATTAGCAATGTTTTAATCTCTATCTTGAGCGGTACCATTCAGTATGTCATTATAATGTTAATAATAATAGCTAGCATGTATTGAGTGCTTTTATTACAGCTTGCATTTTTATTTGATGCTTTCTCTAATCAAATCAAAAGGCTTGAGATCTTTTCTTCAGTTATTCTGCAATTATGATATTGTGCTCCAATACCTTTAATGTATAGCATTCACTGAGTAAACCAACACACATTTTTTGCAACCCATACTACTCTCACTTGGAAACTTAGAACAAAAGTAATATTTTCCTCTGAGAAAAAAATTTAAGAGCTTACTTTTAAAACATGGGCAGTCTTTTAGCCTTGTTCAGTTATAGAGAGGATTGTCAAGGAAGATCTAAAAGCAGTGGTGTTTTTGTAGATAAATGTCCACAAATAAGAAACAATTTTTAAAGGCTCAGAACTTCATTTTAGCTATTTAAGCCAGCTTCTTTCCTTCAGCTTCTAAATGATTTTTCCCTTCCATTTTTCATATATTTTACATATTAGCCTGGTGGATATTTGGACATTTCAGCCTGCTTACCCACTTACCCATAAATATTCATTTCAATATCTAATTTTAAGTGTATTTAATATGTAATTGATATTTGTGGCAGCCTTTCCCTATAATTACCATTGGATTAAGTTAGAATTCATAGAGTTATTTGAAATTATTTCAGATTGAAATGACCCAAACTATAAGTGTTTCCATCTAGGACAGAACCTTTATTACCACAGGGAATTTTAAATAGTATGTCTGTGAGATTTGGAGTGCCTATCTCAAGTAACTTTACTGAAATCACAACTGAAGCTAATTCCATATTATTGAACAAAAAGATACACAATGAGAAATCAAATTCTTGTTTTTCATAATTTCACCATAATTTTATTTTGTATTTACAGTCTTCAGTTTCTAATGCAAGGGTCTTGCTGAGGACTGGGGGATTAGGGAAGAGGGATGAGGTTTGGAGGAAAGGAATCAGAGGTCTTATATGGACAACAATAATTAATAAAGCTAACAGGATGTGAAAGTCTTCCAGAAGAAATTCTTGCAGCCAGCTTTGCGTTCTCGGGGTGCCATGGCAGGGTTTGAGTTAGCAGATCTCTGCAGTTCCAGCCTCATTTCATCCTGCTCAGCAGCCTGGGACAAATCTTCAGGTTCCAGGGCATCATTCTCTGTCTGGTTGGGTTCAGACAGCAGCTCCGCCAAGAAGTACTTGGCCAGTTCCTGTATAGGGTAGAAAGGACACAGAGAGGGGGGGATGAGGATGGCGATGATAGAGAAAAAGAAATGAAAAAAGCCTAATTTGGAAAGCAGATTCAGCTACACCCAAAACCCAATTTTCATAGCTGTGCACTTTTGTCACACTTAAAATCAGTTGATATAAAAATAAGGGTAGTTGCTATAATCACCAAGTTACATAGAAAGGCTTGAAAAACTCAAATGTTTCTGCAAGTTTCCTGCCTCTATAGACTTAACACACACATACACGGAGAAATAGTAGATTGTTAATACAGTTTTGCAAAGATAAAACCGTGCCAACAGTTTGTTTAATTCAGTTCCAACAAAACTGAATGAGCTACAAACTGGAATTGTTCTTACCGTTTTTGCTAAGTTAACTCTGGGGAATGAGACCTTTCACAATCTTAAACATACTGTGCTCTGTCTGTAGAGTGCCCTTTAGCAGCATGGGAGGGAGGTACTGCTGAGGAAGATAGCCTTCAGAGGTCCACGCTTTCAGCACCTGGGCCAGCACCTCCGCGTTCAACACGGGGGGATGGATGCCTCATCCCTTCGTGCTCAGCTACCCGGGTCTTGGGATTTTCTTGAATGCCAAAGAACTTACCTGAACTGTGACCGACTGCGCTGATCAGAAAAAATAAAAGAGGTAAGAGGAGATTCTGGACTTTGAAAGTTTTCCTGAGAGCTTTGGGAGCGGAGGGACCCAGAAAAGCACCGAAAGTCTTCAGGAGCACCTCCTAAATCCACCCAAAGGGGTAAGGTAAAGGCTAAGAGAAGATTGAGGGATTCGGGAGAGGGAAAAGAAGACGTCGAGGAAGTCTCCTTACCTGCTTCCCCGCGGCAGCAGCCAGGGACTTCTGCAGAAACTGACGGAGTCGGGGATCCGAGGGCGCGCCGGTGACACCGCCCAGAGCCAGGACGATGGACAGCGCGGCCAGCGCGCACTGGAGGCGGCAAGACAGCATCTCGGCGGTGCCGGGGAAGCCGAGCGAGACGACGGTTGGTCAAACTCTAGGAGAGGATCCGCAGGCAGCAGCGATAGCTCTGAAACTCGCGACGCCTAAAGCGGCTTGTGTGCTCTCCACTGGCTCCCCGCTTTTTAAACTCTCTCTCTGACGTCAGACTAGGAGGCGCCCCCAGATCTCACCAGCGCTTTTACGCACCATTACCCTCGTGAAATCAATCACAGAAGTAAGAGGAGGCTACACAATCCAAAGTGGTTTACTTAAAAAAAGAAAAAAATGATAATCCTGCAGCCGCACAGGCCCACATGATTTTACACATACCACAGTATCTATACAATCTTTTATATTCGGTCACTGCTATGCACACACATATTCCATTATTTCACTCATACATATGCACATGCACACACTAAATTACACACACGCTCAAACAGCCTCGGAGGAGGCAAATGCTCCATCACACACCGCTGCAGACACGTAAATGTACCCAGACAGCTCAGTCTCTCATCATATCAAACATTTTAAGAGGGCCCGACAAATGCAGAAGTATTTGCATGTGAGAAGGGGGCATTCAGAATAATTCTTCTAAAAACAGATTTGAGACTGGAATGTGGATGTTAGGAGTGAATCATTTCTTTCTCCATTATCTCTGTAAAAAAGTCTCAGGGATTAAGATGTGATGGATTCTAAAAGAATTTCACTTATCCCTACACTGGAGGAGAAAGTACCTTAGCCTCACCCTCCATCCCTCTTTCTCAGCAGCTACAAGATTTCTGGTCTGCCTGCCTTTCTACTGTGACAAAATATACCAAATATTTAAAAAGTGAGACTGACTTCATTTTGGTGCCTAGAAACCTGGAGCTGGAAAGTGATCTCAGAAACCATCTATAAACCTCAGAGTTTGAGCTGCTGAGTCTAGTGATGGGTAGTGAAATGCTCTGGCCCATATATTGCATAGCTTCAGCTAGGGCAAGATCTCCACACTCCAAGACCAGGGTTCTTTTCACTGAGCTCTAAGGTATCTATCAGATTCCTGGCCAGTAGGAGAAGTTTTAGGTCAGGGACCCCCACTCTGGACATGCAAAAGTCCAAGAACCCCCTGAACATATGTGACCACTATTCTGTGTCTATGTGGGAAAAGAATCAACAGACTCTTGGTTAGATCCAGCACTCCCCTGCTCCCCACACACATAAAAAGGAAGGTTAAGAAATGCTGTCCTAGAATTCTGGTTGTAGTCTGGTTGGATGTTTGGTGTCCAGATCGGAGTTTCAACAGCTCCCCCCCCAACAAAAAAAAATAATTTGTTATCAAGGAAAGACTAGCTAATGCCCTGGCATGGACAAGATGATCTCTGCTGGCTCTTCCAGGGCTGACATTGTATGTCCTTCAAGCTCATAAAAAGCTAAAAAGATATTCTGTGTCTCCAGAAACCAAGTGAATCAAAGAACTTGGCCGATCCTGTCACCAGCCATGCATCTTGTGCATATTCTCAATACTTAGACCAAAACCACAATGTTGGAAGGCAGGAGGGTTTGGGAGGTGTCCTGAATGGCTTGGAGAATTGTCACCATTTCCTTTTGTGTCTATAAGCCAAGGCTATGAGAGAATGCACGGCAAGGAATGCTGAAGTTTCCAGGGCTTGGCAGGTCCAGACAAGGCTAACCACACTGGGGCATTAAAAGGTCACTCACATGTGTTGGAATAGTTTGGGAGAGCAATGAATCTGGGGCAGAAGAACCCAACCTAGGAACTATTTGTTATTTTCTCTACAGATCCTGAAACCTCCTTGGCCCCTGACAGGGGACTCAGAACCTAGTTATATCAGCCCAATTGTCCACAGGCACCCCCCCCAATAATCTCACATCTCCTCTGGCCAAGACTTGGCCCTTGGCAGCCCCACTGAGTAGAGAAGGAGTTTTCCTCTAACAGCAGCCGGCCCAGGAACAAATAGCAGCCCCACTCCCTTGCTCTGTGCTCTGGTGTCTCTTTGACCTCCCCTCCCCAGATTCCTGCTCCTCTCCTCCCATGTCCTTATCCTCTTCCTCTGTCCTTGCTCTTCCTCATTTTCCCTAACTTTTCTCTGAATTTCTCTCTCAGGATCTTTCTTATTCTATCTTTTTGTCTTCTCTCTACACCCCCTTTCTCACTCCTCTTTGCAGCTCCCCCTCTCTGCCCTCATTTTCTGACTTCAGTCTGGTTTGATCTGGCTCTTTCTCTCCTTCTCTGCACTTCCCTTCCCACCCAGCCTGGCTGATATCTACCCCAGCCTCTGCCTCTAGCCTCTCCCTACCTCAGCTCCCCCCTTCTTGGCTGCTTCTCAGGAAAAATAGTCTAGCTATTTAAATACTTATTTGGGAATAGTGAGGTCTGGGTTGCTTCCTTCACATGCCAGCTGAAGTGCTGGGACTGTGGATGGATTGACTTCTGGGGTTTGTTTTTGTTTGGTTTTGTTTTATAATCCTTGCATTGTTAGGCATCTAAGAACCACTGAAGAGGACAAGCCAGGATGAAAGGGGACAGGAATTCTTCCTTAAAAGCCCCCATGGCCAAGCTTTGCTTACAGGTTGATTCAGCCCAAAGGTACTTCAAACCTCCCCAACCTAAGCCCTCAGCAGTCAACCCCCAGGGCTTCTCTCCCAAGTTCCAAAGACTGGGAGGGGGAGAAGTTTGTGGTTGTACTGGGGAGCTATTTCAGACCTTGGTAACCAGGAATCACCCCCCCCCATCCTTATGCAGCTCTCTGTGGTTCACAAAGTACTTCCTCATCTGCACATTAGGGCATGCTAGCCCTATCTCCCAAAGAAGAAAATTGAGGGCCTGAGAGCATAAGTGCCTTGCACAAAGGCACGCAGCCAGGAAGTGGCAAGGTCAGAGGGAGGGTGTTACTCCGTGTTAGAACCTTTCACCCTCCCCCCTATTCTTAGGATGCCAGAGATACCTGGCTGGGCAGCCTGCAACCAGGATACAAGTGTTTATAGAAGGCATCCAGGCCTCTTCCATGTGATAGATACATGGAAACAATTTCCCACCACCCTGTGAAATGTACATTTGGGGGTGACTACCTGCCAATATGAGACACAGAAACCCATTTTAATGAGAAACAGTAAAATTGTGAGCAGATATAGACGCTCAATCTTAAGCAAGGCAAGAAAGTAGAAAGTGTCTGTACAGGGAGATGAGGGACCAGGGCTCCAGGTCTGGTTCTGCCGTGATCCAGCTTCCTCTCTGGTCATTGCTTTCCTCACCTGCAAGATAAAAGGCTTGATAGGTAATTTTTGTGGTTCCTTCCAGCCTTGATAATCAAAGAGTTTAAGTTTGAGGAAGTAAAGGGACAAACTAGGCTGTATTGTAATATAAAAATGCTGTTTCTCAAAATGAGGACTGTATATAGAAAAAGAATCTGGCTTTTATGTAATATGAAGGAGGAGGCCAGTGCAGTGAACATTTCACAGGCCTGTTAGAATGAACACTGCCTCTTGAGTCTTGCTTCTCTACTGACCTGCCCTCCCCACTCTGGACCTCAGTTTCTCCCTCTGTAAAATTGAGTCACTCAAATTCTTTCTACAAATAAGTACTGAGAATCTGCACTGCTTGAGTGGTCAATGATTCAGCAGTGAACTAGATAGACAAAGTCCTACTAAGGGAGACAAAACATAACCACATCAAATAATTAATTAATATGTGTCCAAATTGATAAGGATTAAAGCAAGATACAGAGTGCGATGGCTAGGGAATACTCTTCTAAGGAGGAACTATTTAAACAGGTACCTGAACGAGGTGAAGGAGCTAGCCATGCAAATATCTGCAACAAGACATTTCCTTGTCAGGTGGAAGGACAGTCAGTGCAAAGACCCTGAGGTGGAAGCATGCTTGGTACATTCAAATATCAGCAACAAAGTCAGGGCACTAGAACAGAGTAGGTGAATCAGAGAGGGCTAGATGAGGCCAGCAAGGCAGGCAGGAGCCAGATCACATAGAGCCTTGAAGGCTGTGTTAAGGAAACCTTTCCTGGGGAGGGTGGGTTTGAGTAAGGGGTTGACCTCATTTGATATTTTAAAAGTAATACCTTCTGCTGAGTGAAGAATTAATTGTAGGAGGGCAGGCATAGAAGCAGAGAGATAACTTAGGAGCCTAAGAACCATTTAAGAGAAAAGAGGAGTCAGAATGAAAGGGACACATTCCCCTTAGACAGCCGTGGCCCAACTGGTTGGCTTAGCATTGAGGCATTTCATTCCTCCCCAACCCAGGCCTCCTACAGCCAACACCCAGGGTCTGTCTCCTTGGAAGAGGAGGTGGTTTGTGCTTGTTATTGGGGGGCTTATTCTCCAGACTAATTCAGGCAAGGGAAGATGGTGTTTGGGGCTAGAGTGGTAGCCATGAAGGAAATGGGGACTGATTAGGTTTGAAGGACATGCTGATGGTTTGTTTGGATATCAAGTTAAGGAATGAGAAGAACCATTGGTAACCCCAAAAGACTGATCCAGACATTCTCTAAAATGCCTTCAAAGTCCACAAATTCCTGAGAGTGCAGGAAATAGATTTCCGACAAAGATTTCTGGACATTTTGCAAATGGAAAGCCATTTTATTTCTTAATTAGAAGAGGGTGAGAGGAGCGCCTCGGTGACTTAGTCAGTTAAGTGTCCAACTCTCATGGTTTTGGCTCAGATCGTGATCTCAGGGTTATGAGATGGAGCCCTGCATTGGCTCTGTGCTCAGTGCGGAGTCTGTTCGAGATTCTCTTCCTCTCCCTCTGCCCCTCCTGCTTATGTGCTCTCTCTCTCTCAAATAAATAAATAAATCTTAAAAAAAAAAAAAGAGGGTGAGAATTTCAGGCAGTGGGAGAAGCAACATGGAATAGTGGAAAGAGCCCTGGCTTGGATGTCTGAGGCCCTAGACCTAAGTTCTCAGTTTTCTCCTGCTTCAAATGGGCCTAATAATCCTTGCTTTTGCTAAAATAGGATTTGAGAACCAGATTAGACAATGTAAGGGAAAGTACTTGGTAACCCATAACACATGATAAAAAATAAAGGCCTGTTTTTGTTATTGTTACTCAGACCAACATAGCCAGTCCTAAGCCAAGGGGTGATATTAATGAGCCAGGCTTTGGGAGTTGAGTGTCCC